TATGAAGTGATTGCTTGATACAATAAAAATACACTCGTTGGGACCAAATTGCATTGTAAAAGGTGACCGCTTAACAGAGGTCACAATATTTGGAATAATAAGTAAGGGAGAAATTTTCGAGGCTATCAAAATTGACCGCTTAATACAGGTTGACCATTAATACAGGTTCGCTTGATACAGGTTTAACTGTAAATGTAGAACATCAAAGATGTAACCATGTGCCTTTAGCGAATGAAAGTGTTGGGACAGTTACCTTTTCAAAGCTTTGGCGTCCTCCGATTTGTATTTCTCAAGTATTCTATCCATCTTTTCTCGACATCCTCTCCCTTTGACTTCTACTGGTTTATCATCAGTAGAAAAAGCATTGCTGAGTATTTTTGCTACTTCGTCCCACTCTTGGGGCTTTTCAGGTAAATACTTTGCCACCTCCTTTGCAAGGGCTAACTCGTGCTTCATTTCTGGCCATCGGAATGGAGCCATGATACCCTGGAATTATAAAAAATTTTAAGCTTTCTCAGATACCATCTACTGCTGCTTGAATAATAAACCTTAAAGGTGAGGAAAACCTCATTTATGAGCTCACAAAAGGCCACTAGCGACCGAAAACTTCGACAAAAACATGAAATTGAAGAGGCCGCCATATTGAATTTCCAGACAACAGCAGTGTTTGATTTTCAAAGGGCAACAAGAAGTCCTATTTTCACTCATTCACTAAAAAATATGTCTAAACTTGTTCTAAAAGGACTGGTTTACATAAATTTCTGATTTATACGTGGCATAAAAACAAAATCAGGATAAAAAACGTTCAGGTAAATCACTTACGTGAAAACCTACCTCTTGCCGTTGAAAACGCGCGTTGAAAACTCCGAACGTGACCGCAGGGCTTGTTCACGTGACCTCCACCGGTTTGCCGTTCGAGGTTTCCGCTGAAAACCCTGGTGCTAAATGTCACTACTGTCCCGAATGGTCCCGAATGATACTGCACTTGTGTCCCTTTGAACTTCAGTCGTATAATAAATCTCTTATTAACCAAGCTTGCTCGGGACCGTACTGGAAGAATATCGGCCCTCGGTCTTTTTTGTACTGACCTCGCTGAGCTCGGTCCGTACTGTCAAGACCTCGGGCCGATATTCTCCCAGTACGGCCTTTACGCTTTGTTAATAAGATTTAGTACATCTTGTAGTGATTACATGTCAGATGTCAACTTGGTGGTGAGAAAACAAAGGAAGTTAAAGTGCCACCAACCCCATACAGTTTTTTTCGACAAAATAAATGTCCTTGTCCTAGTGATAACACAGTCGAAAAAATTACTTTTGAATCTATTCTAATCTATCCAAAATTGGCTCCCTTGATGTTCACGACCGAGAAGGGGGAATGGGGTGGGTTGGCTCATGACATCATCCCGAGGACTGATTCAACATGAGTCAAATTATTTAGTGAGAAAGCAATCGCTCTACAACCAAGGAAAGAACTATCGAGTTATAACTAAAAGTAGTTTTTTTGGAGGCTGCAGCAATACAGCTTCCTTAGAAGAAAGTTCGCTCTTCATGTCATCCTCTATTCCGAGGTCAACCGCCATAAAGCGCAGAAACGCAGAAGATACTAGGTCGATTTCTCTCAAACGAGTTGACGGGCTGGCGTGACACCTGCCAACGCGCAAGATTTTAAATCTTCTGCCTGCCTACTTTAGCTCTGACCAGGATGTCTTTTAAGGCCTTTCCTTTTCGATAACATAATTGGGGTGGCTCCTTAACTCATTGCTCTTGAACGCGGTTGGGTTTGAATCAAAGTGCCATCTCTTCATCACTGTGTTCTTGAAGTAAGGTAAAGCCAAATGATATTGTGTTATGCAGGCAATGTACTTGCAATTCAAAGTTGAATTTGGTAATTTAATATCAAGCTATATATCCATGAAAAATCTCTTCAGGGTGAAGTTTTAGCACAAATGAGCCAGAAATTTGGACTTGAGGTAGTAAAATGTGACAAGTATTCAAGTCGCGTTTGTAATCCTTCTACCCTTTCCCTGGGTGCTGTTAACTTTCCATACTTAGTCCTCTCGGGGGCGTTGCGTCTGGATTTGAATGTCTATAAACACTGCAGAATGATCGCTATGCTTTATACGTAGGAAACCTTCGAAAATTCTTAGCTTTCGTCATTGCCAGGGGTCTATTCACCATTTCTTTTTCAAATGTTGACTTTACCTAGTGTATTCATTTCCCCAGTTTTGGTCACTTCAGTTTGGGGAGACGACCAACTAATTGATCTCTTCGATTACATTAAATACTTAAACAAACAGCCCTCTAACCCCTCGTGTTGTGCTATCAGTAAAGTTTCTTGGCCCCTCTCCAAATCCTTATATTTCCATGCATCGTTAAAACTGACAGAAATTTCCAAAGTTCAATTCAAATTATGTCACCGCTACAAAAGAAGCACAATGATCGAGTAAAATACTATCGATAAAATACAAGTTGCCTAAATAAATGCATGTAAAGGTACCTATCGCTTCGTATGAATTTGCAGCATGTTTCTGATTGAAGTCATCCCTAAGTTGTCCTCCTCTGTCATCAGAAAGTAATTTCTGGGAAGCCATATCTTAGGACAGATAAAAAAACAGGATGAACATCTACGTTACAGACGCAAGAGTCTGGTACCACCACTAGTATTACCACTAATACAACTCCTTCTTGTACCTCTAGTAGTACCGGGTCGTTCCGCCTACAAGGCATTTCGCTGACGACCAGTTCACTAACGTCTTATAGGTCGTTCGCTAAAGTGTTAGGAAATAGTCAGTCTATAATGCATGTGGTTAATGATAGAGCAAAAAGAAAGATGTGAAGTTTTTGCAGACTGGAATTGGATAACCTTGTTAAAACCAACATAGGCTCCACTTGTTTCCCTATATCAGATTTCTTTTCAGAAAGCTAAAAGGTGCAGGTAGGAAGGTTTTACAATTAACAGTATTAAGGAGAAATTACACTTTCCTATGATAGATTTATTCTACTCTGTACCAAAAGAGTACTTCGATTACATGCACTCTGTCAAACACCTGTGTAACAAAAACTATTTAATTAATTCACAGACTACAAATAAGATGTCGAGTCTGAATGCACTCCTGTTTACAAGTTAATGAAAATACAATCATAAACTTATACAGAGGTATATCCCAAGTTAAGAGTACCAGAAAAAACTAGAGAAAGCTGACTTAGAGCTTCTCTAAGGCATAAAGGCCTGTAGCCTAGATTACGACGTACATATAGTTCCGGTATACCACTACCCAGTCAAAAGACTTTGACCAGTAGTTATAATAATGTGCGATGAACATACCAACGGCTAATGCCCAGAGACCCAATGAAGCCTTAATATTCAAATTTCATTCCTGAACCCTGCTAAAACCTCACTCTCAAATTAACTGAAGAATGGAAAGTGAAACAAAGGACCAGATTTGTAACCTCCAGTCTCTTAAAATTGAAAGTTGACTATGTACATAGC